AACTGACGGCACATTTGAACAGACGCTTAAGCTAAGAAAGATTAAACTGATGAACCAAACTAAAAAAAAATCAAAGCATGACTGTAAAGAAAATAAACAGTTATAAAGGTCTAACTGAAAACTGTAGAAAAGGAGGATGCAAATCGTAACAATCACCCTTGCTTCCATGCTGGAAGTATTTGCTGTGCATGAGGAGAAGTCGGCATTTTTCCTCCTCCTTCAGACATACAATAGCAAAGATAGAGCTTGAGCAATTTTCTAAAATAATTAAACAACAGGTGTATAGGTTGTCTTGTTTCTAGCCCTTTCATGTTGTTATTGTGCTACACTGAAAGCTTCTTACAGCTAGCACTTCACTGTGTGCCTTTTCTTCCAGATGCAAAAACATAGTTTATTAGCTTGTGAAACATCTGCATGTTTTTACAAAGGCTGGTTCATGCAAAGAAATCAAAGTGAGCAACGTAAGTAGAAGAATTAAACTGGGGTTTTACATTATTATTATGACAACTGTGTGAAGAAAAAAAATGCTAAAAGTTCTCCAGTCCATACATAAAGTGTCAAGGTGTGTTCAGTCCCGGCAAACAAATGCTAACTAGCACATAGAGTATTAACAACTTAAAACACAGTATGCTTTATTTCTCCTATGAAATTCCATCATTCTGTTTTGCAAGGATTTCACATAAGCTTTACTTTGCTTCTCACTTTTGTTCCTACCTTCCTCAACCATAACGGAGTTTCAGGTTTGAAAGATCTGGAGCTTCAAAATACTGTAATTTTTAATTGCTAACTTGGTAAACTTTTTATCCTCTAATCCTATTCAAAATATTTCTTTCACCACATGTGAATGACAGAAACTTCACGTGCCCTTAAGTTTCAGAAATCGAAGTTTACTTCAATTATACCTGAGGTAATCCTATACAGCATGTTGGGATGACTGGGATTGCAGCTAGGGTTCTGTCGTTCCAAGAGAACTTATCTGAAAGGTCTGTAAATCTCAGTGAATCAAATGGTAGATACACTCTTGGCTTTAGGTGGGTTTCAGGTGGGTAGCTGGTAAGTTTGAATACAAGTTTCCACAGGAATGGTTACCGTCTCTTTCATTACTAAAGCTTTCACACTTTCCAGCCTGAGACAGAGACTCTCTTCGTGTCTTAGCATTTCCCAACAAAGGCGGGGAAAAGTTGTGCATCTTAATGGCTGAAGACTTGACAGAAGAGAAGTACCCACCAGTAAGGACAGCAGCACTGACCCCTGATCCCTGATCGGGGCACCTGGAGGGGCTCCAGGTACCCCAGGCCTCTGAAGAACTCTCCCAAATCTACTTTTACGACTACAAGATCAGTGACTAACTTCATACTTTCATACCAGATTACAAGACGACCTGAGTGTGTTGTGTAATGAGTTTGGGAGTCCTAAACAATACACCTTACATCCTGGCTTACTTGCATCAAAACAAAGCTTCAGCCACCTCACAGCCGATTTGGAGCTGCCATAACTGGCACGTCCAAGGAAACACAGTATCTTTTGGATAAGGGCTGTCCTGGGGCACTCTTACAGAACCAGAAGGGAAGCAGAGGGGAAGAAGAGGAAGAGAAGATCTATGAAGGACAAATATGAAGTAGCCATCATGGTAGATTTGAAAATAAGGGAAAAAACTTGAATGCTTGGAGTAGGGGTAGTAAAGATATGCTGGTGAAAGAAAAAAAAAAAATTACATACTTTGATTTCAATTTAGAAATACAATCTCCCTAAAGGCTTGTGGAAAAAGGTTTGAAGATACAGAGGCAAACCAGTGGTGCTACAGCACTGAAGACGGAATAAGAAACTTTACCAAAAGTCAACTTGAGAAGACTGTTTAAAGGCCTCTGCACATTTATAAGACCAAAACCTAGTAACCTAGTATAACATCAACAGTATGATTTCTGTCCTCATTTTATATTTTTTGCTGATTGGAGTGAGAGGATGTCTGTTTGAGTCAGTCAGCACAATTATAAACCTCCATAATCTACAGACTTCTCCCTCATTAGTGAATTCAGCCTACTGATACTTATCCTAACAGAGAAAAGCTGTGAACTTCAATCTATGAATTAGCAAAATAAACTACAACAGCACCATCAGAGATCTCTGAGTGCAGCCTCTCAACAAGAATCTTCAGGACTTAACCCAAATTATTTGCCAGGATATTGAGCATGTCACATAAGGTGAAAGTAGACAGTCCGAATTCTGGATATTAAAAGTGCTTGGTGTGTCACAGCCTTAAGCACTAGCAACAAAATTGAATATTTATAAATACTGCAATTTTGGTTAATTATAAGCCAACTTCAGATCTTGTTTCTTGTAGTCTGGGAAGGTAAAGCAAGTCTGCAAGCCTAATTAAAGCATACACAATGTGTTCCACAAATCACAAGGACAGCCTTACCTGAATGCATTTTACTTTTCCATATTCAACTGTATAGTATTACTTTGTGATAATAGGCACAGTACTGAATCTAAAGCTAGTAAATTTTAAATTGCATAAATGAAAAGATTATGAAAAAACATACATCTTTATTTCATTGTGATTTTCTATTTCCACACCTTAGCAAGTTAGCCAACTCAACTAAATTTACTAAAACAACTCTTAGAGCCAAGAACACTAGAATGCTGGAAGTTAGAAATGATGCCAACGAAAGAGAAAACCAACAAAACCTAAGCAAGGAACACCACTCAGAAGACTGAGGGAAGACGAGATTGCTGATATATGGAAGTCAGATGAAGTTCAGGGTAGAATAAATTGATCAGGGATTCTCACTTACCTTTCTATGAAGTTTAACTGCCTCTAAAAGGCTTTGTTTCACCTTCCAAGCTCTAACAAGTTTTAAACAATAGATAGCCGCCTTATATACAAAACTGAGATTCTGATACCTGTGTTCACTCTATATTTCTTCCTTGAAAATTTGCTGTTTCATTTGCCCAATTTAACTGTAGCAAGTATGAATGATTTTTTTTATTTATCATTATCTGAAAAAAAAAGTATTTTCTCGATAATAACATAAATTCTGAATACAGAAGCTGCACAATAATAAGTTGGAACACTTTTCTAAGAGAACATGATCCTCCTTCCCAGCCTCCATTTTTATAGATACACTCTAACAAAATCACAGCAGAGTAAGGTAACATCACATCTGTATGGCCTGGGACAAAGGCTAATCTGGAATTAGAATGGATAATATGACTTATATAATATGGGGCTGAAAAGAGGACAAAAACAGATGCATACTTATCTGTAGTTATGAAGCTTATGAATATCTTGATTATCTGCTTTAAAACATCTGCTTACCTACATCATGCAGAGGAACTAAGGAAACAAACATAAAACATACCTGTATTAGAGAGAGATCCTCAAGCTGCAACCTGAAGAGGTAGTTTCTGGGGTTAAAAAAAATAGTAGATAAAAATTAAATGTTACTAGTGTTTAAGTAAAAAAAAAGTTACTAGCGTTTAAATAAAAATATAATTAATGAATATAAAAGACAGGAAAAAAATTAAAAAGTGACAGGCAGTCAGGACTCTCAATTCTTTCAGGGACTGTCTTAACATACAGCCCTTTGGGCTAAGGACTAAGGCGATTTCTAAAACAGATTTTCAGCTTGAAGGACTGGCTGCATATGAATAAAGTAGATATTTATACTGCATACATGGACATCTGAGTCATTGCTCCAGTCTTCCTTTAGAATCAATGGGAAGAAATACTCAGTGCTTTGGCAGATTCATGTGACCAGTGTTAGATGTCTAAATGAGAGTAAGAGGACAGGCAGATTAAAGCTGTCTGTTTCTCTCCACAATGATGGGAACCTTATGCGATTAGCTTAGCCACAGATACATAAAGTTTGAAGCAAAGGATCCCAGTATGATGGAGTGTCTGTAGAAGCCAGAGTTTTCACAATTCTGACTGAAGTCCTGTCATACCCGGTCTGATTTCTTTGAAACCCGAGGATTTTTTCCCACGTACAGCAGGAGGTACACACGAACCAAGCATATTTTTCAAAAGCCCATGCTTTTATTGCAAAAGGATTTCTCACTCCGCTTTTTCTCTACAGCAGTATCGCTGCACCTACAGAACTTGGGGGGAGTTCAGGCAAACCATGAAGACGTGATGCAAAGGCACTGCTTGAAACCTGGGGAAATGATGGGTTAGGATACTCAGAAAGGTGAGCGTGCCCCACCGACCAAAAACACTTCCTTCAGCACATACTGGTGCAATGTATGTGAGCTATCGCAACTCCTCCCAACTTACTGTGTCTATGTAGTTAAAGCAGCTGTCTTGTTACACCTGTTCTAATAAACCAGCTCTGTTGGTAGCGCTCGTGGTATCAGTCCATGACCCTCATAAAAATGAGCAAGTACCACACCGTCTTTGAACTGATTTCAGCACATCCTTCTCTAGTGCAGATTCTCTTTCATGCTAGGTCTGAATAAGGCTCTTCCATGCTGCACGTCCATATTCCTCCTGCCCAATTTTTTTTGTCTTTCTTTCTTAGTTTCTTCTCACGCCTCTTTTTCTTCTTTTCATTATGTCCTTTTTTTTCACTACATGTTCACATATATAATACTCTTCAGTCCTCTTCTGCCTAATTTTTACCTTATTTAAAGCAATTCTGATTTTCCAATGCCACTACAGAGTGATAATGTTTTATAGATAAAAATAGAAAGGAAGAAATTTTTGAAAGGTTAATATAAATTATGTCAATTTTAATTTATTCGTAACAAATCTGTAACATTAATTTCTAAGATTTCAACAAATTCACTTAAAGCAACAAAAACATTACAAAGAGATGAGTAAATTAATCTTTAAATTTAAATATTTGCAATATTCACAAATTATCTGCAATATTACATCCATGCAACTGGTAGAAGTGTAATCCAAATTAAAATTAGGCCACATTTTTTGAGATAATAATCCTAATTCTTTCCAAAGAGGTATGAGGTACTGTTAATTGGCACAGATAGCCAGGACCTGTAGTTTACATCTCTATTATTTTTTTTAATAAGCCAGTGGGGGGAGGAACAAAAACAAACTGTGTCTAAAAAACAAAAACAAATTTTTTTCAAAGCATGTATCTCATAAACACAACCACTATCATGGCCAGCTTTATTTATGGACTCTGGGGTGCAGCTACGTGTATTTATTTATTGACTCTGGCACACATATGGCCTACTTAAATTATGGATGTACAGTAATCACATCACTAGTCTTTCCTAGGAATATTGCTAAAGGGAGTTACTCAAAATGCAAGAGGCAGGCTATTAAGGGCAAGAATTCATGAGAAAGTAAAATAAAGACAGAATATTTGTCTGATAATATTTGCACAGATAAATCACCACAAGGAAATAACTTATTAGCACAGATAAATCACCACAAGGAAATAACTAAAATACTTGGGTTTGAGTCATGAAGAGACCTGAAGTGGGCAAAGAAAACAGTACACTGCAGGACAATGTTTACACAAAGCTTCATCCACAAGCTACGTGCAAGTTGACTTGAAGGACTTTCACTGAAACGTCAGGAAATGATGTATACAGTCTTTCTAACCCACCTACACTCTCTCTGTAAGGGCAAAAAATATCTTCACATCTGCAAAATGCCTTGCTCAGAAATATGCAGCAGGGAACATAAATACTTAGTCTGCTCCTCATCTCATTGCATATAAGCTTCCATCAGCCATCATTGATTGTGCTTCTTTCACTCCAGATATCAAAGTTAAAGAAACCTACAACTTCACTGCTGTCGCAAATCTATTTTTTCCACTTACAGAAGCAGAACAACTTTTTTCTTCCAGAGAAATTGAGCTGCATCCTCAGCAGGTATAAACTGTTTTCTTAACTCAGTGGTATCAGACTCACAGGAGTGGCACATAAATGCCCCATTTCACTCTACAAATAAATGCAGTCTCTGTTGCAGAATATATGAGCAGACAGTCTGGTCTCACACTTTTAGTTTTCGGGTCAGTACTTAGCATAGTGTCATGTCAATCTCTATGTGTACTTCATCTTGAGATATCTACTGAAGATTTATCAGTGATGTGGCATTTTAAGACAGATTATCAAATTATTAATGTCTTTTTACGGTCTTTCATCCTGACATCATTTCAGCCTATTAAAAAGTAAGCTATTGTCCCAAATTGTAAAAATTCTGTATTAATAAATACAAAAACAGAATGTCAGGCTGAAGAAAAACAGAGGCTGAAAGTTTTGTGGGATTTTTTTCCTAGAAAATGAGATTTGTATCCTATTCAGTAGAGCACAACACTTCTACCCATTAATATATCCAGTATGGAATTAGAAATATTGACCCTATAAGTGTTAGGGAGACTAAAATGTCTATATTCATGTGAATGAGCCAAGAGCCAGAGCTAATTAGTGTACATTTTTCAACTTCCTGTGGCTGCCAATAACCAATTAAAATATTATTTTCAGCTTCATAAAGCCAGCAGAAAGAAAATGGAATAAGAAGAAAAGCAATGTGCAAGACACAGTAAAAGCATTACACCTTAGCAACACAGAGGTAAACTGGGCAAATGGACAGCACAGAGTGACTGTGACTACATAAATAATGCTAGGACAAGTGGCAAACTAGCACTGGGAGAGCAATCAGAGCTATTCCTACCTAAATGTGCCCACTGCAGCAAAAATTGCAGGACTACATTTAGCTCTGCAAATACCTACTGTATTTGTTTAACATGCTAAGGCATGCATCTCTAACATGTGAGAATTCATTCAAAAAGGACATACATGAGAAAAATCTAAAAAAAAAATATAAGCATGACAGTAAAAAAACACACGGGAAATATGATATTAATAAATCGAGCAGTCCAAAGAAGAAGTCAATGCCAATTTCCATTACATGTGCAGAGCCATTATGCTGCTCACGAGATAGGTGACAATACTTTTTTCAATATGTTGTTGAGATTATGCCCTGGATTGCCATTTTTCAACCTCCATTTAGCTTTATTCTAGTGCATTTATGCTTTGAAGGCAACAAAGGATGTGAAATAAAAATGACCAAGTACATTTCTGAAGCATAGACACAGACCTCTTAGCACGTAGGCCTGTCTCCCGTCTAAATATGATGGTAATAAAAGCAAGACAAATACAACTTTACATGCTGGAATTAAACTGATTTGACACTGGCGGTAATTGGTAAATTTGTTTCCATTTGGTGCTTAATGAATGAGGAAAGCAAATATGTTACATAAATCTGCAAACAGAAGGACACTGTAATGAGAAGAAAACACAACGAACTCTGAGATACAGCAGCATCCTGTATTCCTTCAGATAGCCAGCAGGCAGTAAGCATTTTGCTTTACACTGACAGCACTGAACTACTTTTCTAGGTGAACTATGATAACTAAAACCTGTTAATCAAGAGCCTGCTCAAACCCAATGGCAAAGACTTCCACCAGTGTCAGGGGGAACTGAATGAAGCACCACAAAAAGCATGCTCCAGTCACCTCCTTGACAACAAGGTATTTCCATCTATCGCAGTGAATACATTTAGCATGACTACAGACAGAAGCATAAAGCTAATCTTCTGTATGTTCCTAAACAAGTCCATGTCAAAAATCAATTGAAAACCCATAAAGATTCGAAAGCATAGCATGCTAGTAATGGTTGTTAAATCCAGCACTTTACCCTTTTCTTTGTGAAACAGCAAGCTATAAAACATGAACCCAACAACAAAAAATACTGTTGCATTCAACACAGACATGAATTAGAAGAACATTAAGGTGGCACATACAGCTTAGGAAAACGTACTACAGATTAAGCTTTTGAAAAACTCCTAAGACAGCAAGAAAAAAAACCCACCCTAAGCCCCCATATGCATCTGCAATTGAAAGCCTGAATCAATAAATAGGGGTTGCAGCAAACTCAGGAACTCAAGGCATGATCAGACATGCTGCCAAATCTCCTGGAAATAAACCAGTAAAAGATTCCTTCCTGTGCACTTCTTTCAAGAAACTGTTTCACATGAAAGAAGAAAATTTTATTCAATTTACTGGAAGGAAAATATATCAAGACTGAGAATGAAAAGTATAAGCTCTGTAAGAATCAACTATTAAGCAAAAAGTCACGATTCCACAATCAAGATGGGAAAGTTTTGGGTAAAAGCCAATTCTAGTTCTGCAGTGTAATAAAATCAGCAATTGGAAATAAAACAGAAAAAGAAATAAGAATAGGAGGAAAGGCGATAATCAATACAAATAAAAAATTATGATGTAGAAAATTCATATGGTTATATTAAGATACAATAGGAAAAATATGTGAAAAAGCTTAGGATGATACATTCGAAATAAAAGAAACCTAATCAAAGTGGTCTAGTTGAACTATTATATGAAAATGGTCAAATTACAGTAACAAAAAGCAGACTG